GTACTCCAAGGCCAAATTTGCCTGTTACTCCAGGTGTTTCTTGACTTCCTACTTTTGCATTCCAGTCCCCTATAATGAAAAGGACATCTTTTTTGGGTGTTAGTTCTAGAAGGTCTTATAGGTCTTTGTAGAACAGTTCAACTTCAGCTTCTTCAGCATTATTGGTCAGGGCATAGACTTAGATTGCTGTGATATTGAATGATTTGCCTTGGAAACGAACAGAGATCATTCTGTCACTTTTGAGATTGCATCTAAGTACTGCATTTCGAACTCTTGTTGACTGTGATGGCCACTCCATTTCTTCTAAGGGATTCCTGCCCACAGTAGGAGATACAATGGTCATCTGAGTTAAATTCACCCATTCCAGTCAATCTTAGTTAACTGATTCCTATAATGTCGACATTCATTCTTGTCATCTCCTGTTTGGCTACTTCCAATTTGCCTTGATTCATGGACCTAACATTCCAGGTTCCTATGCAGTATTACTCTTTACAGCGTCGGACCTTGCTTCCATCACCAGTCACATCCACAACTGGGTGTTGTTTTTGCTTTGGCTCCATCTCTTCATTCTTTCTGGAGTTATTCCTCCACTGATCTCTAGTAGCATACTGGGCACCTACCGACCTGGGGAGTTCATCTTTCAGTATCCTATCTTTTTGTGTTTTCATACTGTTCATGGGGTTCTCAAGGCAATAATACTGAAGTGGTTTGCCCTTCCCTTCTCCAGTGGACCACATTCCATCAGAACTCTCCACCATGACCCATCCGTCTTGGGTGGTCCCACACGGCATGTCTTAGTTTCTCTGAGTTAGACACGACTGTGGTCCTGTGATCACACTGCCTAACTGTCTGTGATTGTGATTTCAGTCTGTCTGCCCTCGGATGCCCTCTCTCAGCGCCTACCATCTTATTTGGGTTTCTCTTACCTTGGACGTGGGGTATCTCTTCACGGCTGCTCCAGCAAAGTACAGCCGCTGCTCCTGACCTTGAAGCTTCCCCACATCCAAGATCAGAAGCGTGGTCGTGAGGAGCTACCCCACATCCAAGGTCAGGGCGGCCGAGAGGAGCTACCCCACGTCCAAGGTGCCTAAGAAAGTGTCCCCCAGACTTAGTGCCTGCAAACAACTCTTGGGCTTGACCCTGTGGGCCAGCGGTCGTCCCCTGAACTGGGTCTCATGACTGGGCCCTGCTGGGCTCTCACGTGCCTGTGTCTGCTGGCGGGAAGGCTGGCTGATCCAGCCCTGCCCTGGTCACTCATCTGGTGGTTGGCAGGCATGGGCTGGGGCACACAGGCTCTGTGTGTGCCCAGGCAGGGCAGCCGGGTCTGCTTCACACGATGGGCTCAGGCTTCCAAATGCAGCAAGGCGAAGGAGCCCCGGTCAGGGCATTTTCCAAGCCCCTGCTGTGTCTGTTCTGCGCTGGCCCCGGCAGCCAAGGTAAATCACCTGGTGAAGCCCAGAGTCAGGGTGGGAGGGCCCTGCCGAGGGCAAGCACACGGGCAGGACGAGCGTCACAGCCACTTCCGCAACAGCCTCCTGCCGTGCTCAGCTAAACAGAGAAGACCACAGAACAGCCACGTCATAGGAGCAGGAGAAAGATTAAGTAAGAAAGATGGAAGCAGAAACAGGTGATGTAAAAAGTCGAGTTGGTAAATGCACGCAAGAGCTTACCGTCTGTAACAAAAACAATGCTGTCAATAAACTTTATCAAACATGAACAACAACGAAGAGTGGAACAGACCCTTACCGCTAGAGTCAAAAGCGGTCCAGAAGAGCAGCAGGGAAGACTTGCTGGATATGAGGATCCCAGTGACTGCGATGTATGAGTATATTTTAACAAATGATTATGCTTTAAATTTATTAAATGATAAGTTGAAAGATATTTATCGTTTAATAAATTTAAGTGATATTCTAAAGATGTGCACTTTACGAAGAGGAACTCAAGGACATATACAAAGCTTGATTCGATGAATAACCAAGGTAGAAATCACGAGAAGCAAGTAAAGTCAGAAGTGACCGGCCCGACAGCAGGTGGAGGCCAGGTGAGGGCCAGGGCAATTGTATGGCTGGCAATACACAGAAGCTGAGCATAACCCCAAGACCAGTCAGAATGCATAATTGGTCCCTCAGAGAAGTTGGGGCCAGATATCGCACTCCTAGCCAGAGTTCGGACAGCATAAGTGCTTATTGAGAATTTCATTCTCCTTTTGGAACAAGAAAACAACCATCATGTAAGCCCCAGTTTGTTTAGGCAAACGTCCCCACACAAGGTATTATCCAATGAGGATTATGAAGCACAGGAGGCAATGAGCAGAGGAAATTAAAAATATATATATATAGTAATGAGAAATGATTAGCAATCTTTTAAAAGTTAGCTTTATTGAGTTCTTTTTTATATAAAAGCAAAACTCACTGTTAAAAAAATGTACAGTTCTACAAATTGTGACAAGAACAGAGGGTCATGTGTCAATATCTTATTCCTTAATCAAGATAAAGAATGTTTCTGTTACCTTCCTAAAGGTCTCTCATTCCCCATAATGGTCACACCCCCTCCCCACCCATCGTCCCCGGCAGCCACTGATCTGTTTGCTGCCTCTATAGATTGCCTTTTGCAATTTGTTATATAAACAGAGTCATGCATGATGCAACCTTTGTCTCTGGCTTCTTTTAACTTAATATAACGTGCTTGAGATCCGCCTGTATTTTTGGAATTGATAACTTGTACTTTCGTCTTTCTTCTGAGTCACATTTCACTATAGGTATATAGCATGACTTCTTCATTCACCAAGTTATGGACATTTATTTATAGCATTTTTATTTTTCAACTGTGAACAAAGCTTCTGTGAAGATTCATATACAGGCGTTTGTGTGACTATATGGTTCTATTTCTCTTGGACAAACACCCAGACATGGGGTTACTGGGTTGTTTGGTAATCCCAAACTGTATGTTTGACTCCAAAAGAAGCTGTCGGGTTGGTTTCCAATGGGGGGGCGGGGTCACCATTTTACATTCCTACCAGCAAAGGATGAGAGTTCTAGGTGCTCCGTGCTTTTGCCAGCAGTTGATATCATCAGTATTTTTATAAAATTTATTTCACTGAACTATTCTGGTTGGGTGATGGTATTTCATTTTGGTTTTAATGTACTTGCATTTCCATAATGTCCAATGATGCCAAGTATCTTCTCACATACTTTGTGCTTATTTGGTATCCGTCTGTCTCCTTCAGTGAAGTGTCTATTCAAATCTTTTATCCATTTTAGTTTTTAAATCAGAATGTCTATTTTCTTATTATTGACATCTGTAAACTTTTCAATATACTTTTTAAAACCAGTGTTTCACTAAAAATTCAGGTCTTTTCTTTCAATCTCTGGCTGGTCAGTTTGTGTTCTTACGAGTTCCTATTCAATAAGCTTTTTTCAGTTTTGATGAAGTCCAGTGTAACTTTTTCTCCTTCTGTGATTTATGCTTTCTGTGTCCTATCAAACTATTTGCTTGACTCAAAGTCATGAAGATTTTCTTCTATTTTCTGCTAGAAGTTGTATAGTTTTAGGGTTTTGATCTATGATTAATTCCAGATAATTTTTCTATATGGGCCAAGGTATGGATTGAGGTTAATTTTTCTGCATACATAATCTAATTATTCTAGTACCACTTTTTGAAATAATTATTCTCTAATGAATTGCCTTAGCACCTGTATTGAAAATTAATTTAAAAATTTAAAGTACACAATAATACATATGTACATATTGTTGTTTAATCGCCAAGTCGTGTCCAGCTCTTCATGACCCCATGGATTGCATCATGCTAGGCTTCCCTGTCCCTCCCCATCTTCCGGAGATTGCCCAAGTTCATGTCCATTGCATTGGTCATGCCAGCCAACCACCATAAGTATGTGTATACATAATGAAACTGATTCTACAGTCTATATGGAAAATCAAGGAAGTCAGAACATACAAAACAATTTTGGAAAGGAAGAACAAAGTGGGAAGACTCTTACTGATGTCAAGACTTACTATAAGCTACAACAGCATGACCGTGTGACAGAACGGTGCTGGTGAAAGGCAAGACCTCTAGGCTGATGCAGGAGAGCTGAAAAGACTTGGGAGGCTACAACTTCAGAGAGAATTTCTGGGGAGAAACAGAGAGAGCAGAGTCTGACGTCTGGGGTGGCTTTTCCCTTCCAGGTTGTTGCTGACTTTCCAGCCATGCATCAAAGGTTGAGGTACTGACCTCTGTCTACACACCAGTGGAGTTTTGGGGTCAAAGTTGGAGTTCATGGCTTGACAAAAACAGGGGACCTCATACACGTGCTAGGATTTCAGTGTGAAAGTGAAAGGGTTAGTCGCTCAAGTCATGTCTGACTCTCTGTGACCCCATGGACTATAGCCTGCTAGGCTCCTCCGTCCATGGGATTCTCCAGGCAAGAATACTGGAGTGGGTAGCCATTTCCTCCTCCAGGGAATCTTCCTGACCCAGGGATCAAACCCAGGTCTCCCACATTGCAGGCATATTGTTTATCATCTGAGCCATTAGGTGAAGAACCTAAATACCCTATGCTCTGGAACAGGGGAGAATGAGAAATAATAGCCTTCACAAGGCCAGGCTTGAATCCTCTTGCTCTCTAATTGGATTAGAGAGACCTGCTCTTGCCTGATCACCAAATTAAAAAGCAAAGCCTTCGTGGAACAGTGTCATTCAGAGGCTCCAAAGACATTTACACTCTTTCACATACCACGTTCCGCATTCAAAAAAGATAAGCAGGCACTGATTGGATGTTAAGAAAAAAAAAAATAAGCAATGGAAACAGAATCACAGGAAATTTGGTTATTGGATATGTCAGAACAAATATTAAAATGACTACAGTTAAAGTATTCAATGACAAACCTAGACAGCATATTAAAAAGCAGAGAGATCACTTTACGGACAAAGGTCCGTATAAAGCAAAGCTATGGTTTTTTCAGTAGTCATGTATGCATGTGCGAGCTGGACCATAAAGAAGGTTGAGCGCCAAAGAATTGATCCTTTCAAACTGTGGTGCTGGAGAAGATTCTAGAGAATCCCTTGGACAGCAAGGAGATCAAACCAGTCAATCCTGAAGGAAGTCAACATTGAATATTCATTGAAAGGACTGATGCTGAAGCTCCAATACTTTGGCCTCATGATATGAAGAGCCGACTCGCTGTAAAAGACCCTGACGCTGGGAAAGATTGAGGGCAGAAGGCAGCAACGGAGGATGAGATAGTTGGATGGCATCATCGACTCGATGGACATGAGTTTCTGCAAACTCTGAGAGATGGTGAAGGACAGGGAAGCCTGGCGTGCTGAGGTCTGTGGGGTCTCAAAGAGTCAGATCTGATTTAGCAACTGAACAACAATAACAAGACATTCAACAAATTAAAATACAAATAGAATGCCAGTAGGAAACATAAAAATGTTTAAAAAGCTATACTGAAAATTCTGGAACTGCAAAAACAACTAAAATAAATAATTCGGTTCAGAGTGTGTGCTCATTCATGTCTGACTCTTTGCAATGCCATGGACTGTATCAGGCTCCTCTGTCCATGAGATTTTTCCAGGCAAGAATACTGGAGTGGGAAGATCCCTTCTCCAGGGGACCTTCCTGACCCAGGGGTTGAACCCCTGTGTCCTGCAGCTCCTGCATTGGCAGGTGGATTCGTACCACTGCGCCACCTGGGAATCCCTAAAGAATTAAAAAAAAAATTTATTTGCAGTTTAGGCATCACTTAAAAGAAAATTAATAAAATGGAGCCTAGAGGACAGACCGTCACTCACATCGCCACAGGTGTCTGGGGAATTCCCAGGAGGGCTGGAGCTTTCTGTCCTTTCATTGTCCCCAAAAGCAGTGCATTCTAATGAGCTCCTCAGACAGCTGGCTGCAGGCAGACCGGGTGGCCTTGCTTCTTGCGTGGCAGGGGGAGGGAAGAAAGGCCGGGATTCCAGGTGGACTGTTTGCTGTCCGTATTAGGGTTTGAATCATCACATGCAGGGGAGCAAGAATGTTAAAAGGAGTTCAGCCCGTAGAAACACCTAGAGCTGAGCGTGGGTTGGCAAAGCCCAGGGCAGAGGAGATGCCTTCCAAACAGGAGCCAGGCCTGCTCTGGAGTCTGGGGCTCATCTGCTCCGCGCAACTATTTTGCTGTTGTTTTTATTTTTTTAATTTTCATTTTATATTGGAGTATAGCTGATTTGCCATGTTGTGTTAGTTTTGGTGTAGAGCAAAGTGAATCAGTTATGTGTGCACATAGATCTATTTTTTTTCAGATTCTTTTCCCACGTAGATTAATACACGCTATTGAATAGATTTCCCTGTGCTATACCGTAGATCCTTGTTGTTTATCTATTTCACATGTAGTATGTGCATCTGTTAATACAAAACTCCTAATTTATCTCTCTCCCCTCCCTTTCCCCTTTAGTAACCACAAGTTTGTTTTCGAAGTCTGTCAGTCTATTTCTGTTTTGTAAATACGTTTATTTGTATCATCATTTTAGATGGTTCCTAAAACTAAATTTAGCACATCCTGTGTTTAGATTATGTTTGACTCAGTTATCTTAAGAGTTGCTCTTGTAATCATTCTTGTTTTGATACCTCCACTTTACTTATGCACTGAGTTGGGTTAAATGTTCATTAAGAGTTCTCCACAGGTTGTTACAGAAGAACATGAATAAACATCTTGGCCAACCCCACACTTGGATGACAGAAGGCCCTGGAATGTTGGAGGAGGTGTCCATTGTGAACATTCTCGTGGTTCTCTGAGTGGCTCTCCAGAGATTCTCTGCCAAGAAGCAGACTCTCTGCTCAGGACTGTACCTGCATGTCACACAAATGCTGTAGAGAGAATTCCAGAAATCCTGGCTAAGCCAATGCACACAAGTGTCTTGTAACTATCTGACTTCTCTTCGGTGTATATATATTTGGTGTTGTTGTTTCTGTTTAGTTGCTAAGTTGTGTCTGACTCTTTGCAATTCCATGAACTGCAGCATGCCAGGCTTTCCTGTCCTTCACTGTCTCCCTGAGTTTGCTCAAACTCATGTTCACTGAGTTGGTGATGCCATCCAACCATCTCATCCTCTGTCATCCCCTTCTCTTCCTGTCTTCAATCTTTCCCAGCATCAGGGTCTTTTCCAATGAGTTGGTTCTTTCCATCAGGTGGCCAAAGTACTGGAGCTTCAGCATCAGTCCTTCCAATGAATATTCAGGGCTCATTTCCTTTGGGACTGACTGGTTCGATCTCCTTGCAGTCCAAGGGACTCTCAAGAGTCTTAGAGTGTTCTCTAGCACCACAGTTTGAAAACACCAATTCTTTGGTGCTCAGCTTTCTCATGGTCCAGCTCTCACATCCATACATCACTACTGAAAAAAACCATAGATTTGACTATACGGACCTTTGTCAGCAAAGTGATATCTCTGCTTTTTAATATGCTGTCTAGGTTTGTCATAGCTTTCCTTCCAAGGAGCAAGTATCTTTTAATTTCATGGCTGCAGTCACTGTCTGCAGTAATTTTGGATCCCAAGAAAATAAAATCTGTCATTGTTTCCACTGTGGCCCATTTTTCTTCTTTTGGAGCTGTCTTTGTTATACCTGGTTTGTAAGAGTTCTTCAAACATTAAGAAAAACAACACTTTACCAGTTCATTTGCCTTTTAAATTTGTTAATGGTCTTTATTTTCCTTATGTAGTTTTTATTGTCATGTAGTCAGATCACTGATCTATTGCCAGTAGATTTGCCAGCAGAGACAAGTGCAGAAAAGCTTTCCTTACCCAGCGATGATAAAAGTATAATTGCTTTGTAGATTATAGAAGTAAATATTGCCTTACATATTAAGTGTTTAAAAATATTTTAGATCTTAAATTCATCTGGGATCTATTTTGGTGTAAGAGTAAAAGAGAGATCTGTCTCAATATTTTCCCAAGCGGCTAACTAATTATACTAATTATATTGATTGTAAAAAAAAAGCCTCTTCTTTTCCCCTCGGATTTGAAACATCACCTTTATCATAATTTCCACCCTCACCTTTTCTCTCTTTTGTTCCCTGCTTTTTTTCTTCTCCTGATGCTAACATCATACTCTTAATTACTGTAGCTTTGTAATTGGCTTTAATATCTAGAGTGAATGTAATTTTGTGATTAGTGAATCTATTGAAGTTGTAATTCCATGCCCACTTGGGCTCTGCCTTTCTCCCTAAAGGCTGTTGTTTATGGAAATAAAAGCAGCTTCCCAGGTGACTCAGCAGGTGAAAAACCGCCTGCCAATGCAGGAGACACAGGAGACTCGGGTTTGAGTCTCAGTCGAGTCCTGATCTCTGGGATGGGTGGAAATGGCAACCCACTCCAGTATTATTTCCTGCAAAATTCCATGGCCAGAGGGGCCTGGCAGACTATGGCCCATGGCGTCCCAAAGAGTCGGACACGGTTTAGGGACTGAGCATGCACGTGGATGTAAAAATCTCCTTTTAACCTAATTTCATACTCCTGCCCTCTGTTGCTCGACCTTCCCTGCCTGGCGTGGGGATGGCCCGCGCTCTGCCTCTCTGGGAACTCTCAGTCCCAACCCGAGAGAAAGCCTTTGTGTCCTCTCCCCTGTGTTGTTCAGTCGCTCGGTCGAGTCGGACTCTGGGACCCTGTGGACTGCAGCACGCCAGGCTTCCCTGTCCTGCCCCGTCTCCAGGAGCTTGCTCAAACTCGTGTCCATGGAGTCGATGATGCCATCCCACCTTCTCGCCCTCTGTCGTCCCCTTCTCCTCCTGCCTTCAATTCTTCCCCATAGCACCTGGCTTTTTTCCTTACTATACTTACACAGTTCATCATTTCGCAAGGATAAGGATGGAACATAACATATCCCACCCTCCCCCAAACTGGGATTTACATCCATGAGGCAGAAACCATACTCACCACACTTCACTAGTGTCTGCAAAAGCAAGTACTTGGAATAAATGAGTGAACGCTGACCTCCTCTGAATGATGCCGGGAGCTCCCTGTAGACTGGCCAGAACCTAATTTTCTACATCATTTCTCCACCTTCCATCTCCCTCCAAATCTCTTTCCCAAGCCACCATCGGCTTCAGCGGTCCCCTCTGCTCGGGACCCCTTCATTTATCCTCTCCCTTCTGGACACTCATTTATCCTTCCAGGTCAAGGCCAGCTGTAGCCTCTTCAATAGAAGCTTCCAAGAAGCTGCAGGGAGTGCAGAGGCATCCCCACCTCCTGTCTCCTTCTCACCTGCCTGATTCGAGGGTGGTGTCCTCAGGATGAAACCCTTCCCACCCAGGACCCCGCCCGGCCTGTCTGAGCTGGCTGATCTGGCGAAGGCATAAAATGAACTTCCCTCCAACAAAATAAAGTGGAAAATCTACCCAATCAATTCAAACACCAAGGGGCCTCTCTAATTCAGTGTCGACAATCACCGCTTCCTCTGTGTGTCTTTTCCTTCTGGCTGAGGCTCCGAAGTATTTTGCACCTTAAAATAAAAAAAAAAAAAACACAGCTTGCATTTCCTCTTATTTGGGATCAATATATGATTTAGTTCTCTTGACACAAATATACACCCCAAATCAAATAACTTAATTGGTATTTAATTTTCTGCTTGCTGTTTGTCTTCCCTCGGCTGGCACCAGACAGGGCCTGTTTGTGGCCGGGTGTGCGTTTTAGAATGAAGATTTAAAGCTGCTCATTATGGCCACCTGTCCTGTGAATTCCCCAGATGCTCCTGAACTGGTCTGTCCAGCTTCCTTCTAGACAATTTCAACACCCATCCTGCCTGGCTTAGTTCTCATGGTCAGGAAAGCTTTGCTCACGCGCAGGCCAGAGTCAGCGCCCAGGAAGGCGTGTAAGATGGGAGCCGATGTCTCCTCACAGCTTTCTCACCCTTCCGGGTCCTTGGGGTGGTGGTGGGGGAGCTGGTGCAGGGTAGGCTTTCTTTTGCAGATAAGCAGGCGGGGCGAGGAGGGCAGAGGGTGATGGGTGTGTTGACCCTGTCATCTTCTCTCTGCATCCTCTCCTCCAGGGCTTCCCAGCTGTCCCCTGGCTGTGCACACCTGTCCCAGAGGCCCTCTGGTCTCCAGCCACTTTCTGAGCCCCTCTCCCCACCACACCCATGTCCCCCTGCTTGGCCCAGCCTTGTCTCCCAGAGGAATCCCCCTTCTATTTCCAGGACTCCTGGCTCAGTCCAAAGCACCTCCCAGCACTGAGGGGTCTGACGTGGGGTCCGTCTCTATACTCTGAGCCTGGAGGTCGCAGGGATGCCTTCACCATGAAACCCAATCCAGCCACCCTCTGTCGCATCCCTCTCAACCATGTGTCGCAACCTAACCCCCAGGTGGTGATCTTAGGAAAGTGAAAAGGTGTTAGTCCCTCGGTCTTGTTTGACTCTACGATCCCATGGACTATAGCCCGCCAGGCTCCTCTGTCTGTGAGATTTCCCAGGCAAGACTACTAGAGTCGGTTGCCATGCCCTCCTCCCGGGCATCTTCCCAACCCATAGATGAACCCGGGTCTCCTGCATTGCAGGCAGATTCTTCACCATCTGAGCCACTTGGGAAGCCTTGGTGATATTATGAAGTGGGGCCTTTGGGAGGTGATTAGGTCTTGGGGTGGAGCCCCCCAGAGGGGATTATTGCCCTTGTCAAAGTGGCCTCACCATCTCTGTCGTGTGAGGACACAGGGACTAGATGACTGTCTGTGAACCTGAAGCAGGCTCCCTCCAGACACAAAGTCAGCTGACACTTTGACACTGGACTTCTAGCCTCCAGAACCGTGAGAAACAAAATCCATTGTTTATAAACCGCTGAGTCAATGCCATTTTGTTTTAGCAGCTGGAATGGACTGAGACACTCTCCTAGTCCAAATGAATCCATGGCTCTTGAATTACAAACCTGAATCCCTAGCGGGGCCAGGGAGGCTCAGAGGTGTGGGCCCCGGGCCCTCCCCAAGGCGTCAGAACTCAGCGTCTCTCTGCTCTCTGCATCACAGCCTCTGCTCCACAGCTGCTGGTTGCCTGGTAACCAGTTACAGAGGGGAAAGGAGAGGGGCAGGGATAGTGATTGGAACTAGTTAATACTGGGCATACACCCGGGGAAAACCACAATTCCGAAGGCCAAAGATAGCCCAGTGTTCAATGCAGCACTGCTTACGATAGCCGGGGCAGAGAAGCAATGACCTAGATGTCCTCTGACAGATGTATGCACACAGAAAATATGATCCATGTACGCAGTGGAATATTACTCAGCCACAAAGGGGATACATCTGAGCCAGGGGTAGTGAGCTGGATGAACCCAGAGCCTGTAACACAGAGTGAAGGAAGGCAGAAGGAGAAAACAAATACCGTATGTAAAGGCTTACACACGGCATCTAGAAAGCGCTGAACCTATTTGCAGGGAAGGGGTGGAGACAGAGGTGCTGAGCACGGGCTTGAGGACACAGCAGGGGAAGGAGGGGGATGAAAGGAGACAGGAGATTTGTAAATTGGTGCCATTTGCTCAGAAAATGGTCTGGCAGCAAGTAACAAAAGCTGTAAAAATGTTCACACCCTGTGGAAATAATCTAAAATGCAGAAACTTTTTTATTTTTCTAGGGAGAAAAGGATGTCACAGAGCATTACGAACGCAGCAAGGGCCACCTCTGTGAAGACAGGGGTCCGAGTTTAGCTGTTTATAGAATGGCGGGCTCAGAATTTCCTGGGAAAAAATTCCTCGCCTAACTATGTGCTTTGATGCTTATGAGTTATTTAACAGTTATGCTTAACATCTTTTTATTTTAAATTTCTCATTCTTGCATGCCAAGTTGTGTCTGACTCTGTGACCCCATGGACCGCAGCCCGCCAGGCTCCCCTGTCCCTGGGATTCTCCAGGCAAGAATACTGGAGTGGGTTGCCATGCCCTTCTGCAGGGGGTCTTCCTGACCCAGGGATCCAACCCACATCTCGTATGTCTCCTGCGTTGGTAGGTGCGCCCTTTCCCACTAGCGCAACCTGGGGATAGTAAATACATTGGCCGCCGCTGTGTGCCCGCTCACAACTCCCTCCTCACAAATAACCAAGCTAAGGATGCTGACCAGGTCTGGGCACACTGGTCCCCACAAGCTCTGGCGCAGCCTGAGGACTTTGCTGCTTCAGAAGCCGGCTCAGGCTCCTGGTCGCATCAGGCACCCGGGGTCTGCATCCCCTGAGTGAGCTGCTGGCACAGCCGGCCCCTCCTCCACAGCCTCCCCCGACCACGTGGCTGACCTGTGCCTATCTGCCCATCCCCAAAGGGCCTCTTGTGTTATTGCAAGAGGTTATTGCAGGTTTGACAGTGTCACCTGCACCCAAGGTCCTACTTATTAACTCTCTTTTACGTTTGCTGGTTCCTGTTCATGGCAATGCCGACCTATAGGCGGTGCTCTGTGCTTCCACTGGGGTTGAATCAACGCTGACCCCCTCTGCATCTGCCATGACGGTCCCATTCATTCATTTATTCCCCAAACACAGTTTACGGGACATCAACGTCCACAGTCACTGAGCTGGTGACGAGCCCTGAGAGCGGATCCGCCCATCACAGGGGCGCTTCCGTGGAGTGTGCTGCTGTTTTGGGAGAAGTTCCCTGTCCCACCACCAGCATCCTTCCTGATTCACCCTGGCTGACAAAAAGCCTAGAACAATACTGCTGGGAGAGCAAGGTTTCGCCCCATGTGCTCCATTCTAATGGAGTCGGTCTTCCACTGCGTGCTTTAAAACTGTTAGAAGCAAATCAAAATTAATGAGATTACCTCCTTTGAAATGTTACATATAATTAACCTCGAATTAAGGACAATATGCGCTTGAATTTGCCAATCAGTAACACCTCGAGATTGCTGAAATGCACAGCAGCAAATAGACATTGCCTGTGATCTGCCAGTTGAACATCTCAAGGAAAATCGCTTTGCAGACCCACCAGTGAAGTCCTCGCTGGGGTCAGGACAGGGGTTCGCGGGCCAACATGCTCCCTCCTTGCTGTGTGGCCCCAGTTCTTTCTGCTGATGGTGTTGGTGGCGGGGCGGGGTGGGGAGACTACTGTCTTCAGGAGAAGAGGGTTCCGTCAAAAAAAGAGGCATGCCCAAGAAGAGACTCCCCATGATGACCAGTGCCCAGAGTCCCCCTCAAGGGCACCCTGTTCTGACCATGGGAACTGTTGTCCGGCTTCCATCACCTTCTTCCTTCTTAGAACGTCCCCCCACTCCCTCCTGCGTGCAGAGGGTGGAGACTTTTGGGGCTTCTGGTAACGACATAGGTGGACCCCCTCCAGAGGGTTCCCTGCTGCCCCTTCATCCGGGACAAAACAATTCATGGTGAGCCCTGGTGATTTGTAAAACCCCAAGGATTTAGGCTTCTCAAGTATAAGGCGGCAGAGTGACTTTCAAAAATCACATTAACTGATTGCAATTTTTTTTAGTCCTTTGTGTTAATGCATCGTATTTTTCATCCACTCATTACTCATGAATATCCGGCTTGTTCCCACTTCTGTGTTCTTGTGAATAACGCTGCTATGAACATCTGTGTCCAGGATTTGTACAGACGTAAGTTCTCACTTCTCTTGCGCAGACCAGCTCCCTCTGCTTCACTGGTGCTGGTCCTCAGGGCAGCTGCTTAGTTCTTGCTAGGTCCTTCCAGCCAGTGTCAAAGGTCAACCATGAATAGTGCAAACTCTGGAGGTCCCGAGGGGGCTGCTATTCCTCTTCCCCAACACGTGTCTGGAGGGAGCCCAGGGCAGTGTCGCCTCTGCGTCCCCAGGCCTTCGCTGCTCTGACCCCCACTCCCGGAGCCCGTTTCTGTCTTCAGGCTTGCTCAGCTTCACAGCTGTGGGGACCCAGTACCATTCTTCTTGGTATGGAGCCTTGATGGAGGCGTTTGAACATTCCCCCCCAAATTCTTGTCTATATGAAGCCTCAGAAGGCAATCTTACTTGGAAATAAAGTCTTTGCAGATGATGTAATTACATGAAGGACTGAGATGCAATTGTGCTGGACTAGGGCAGGCCATCAATCCACCAAGAGTGGCCTCTAGGAGACAGAGGATACAAATAGGATGCAGATGCTGAGGGAGGCAGCCCCAACCCAAGGGATGCTGCAGCCCCCAGCAGTTGGAAGAGGCAGGTAAGACCCTCCCTTTGAGCCTCTGAAGGAGTCTGGCCTGCTGATGCCTTGATCTCAGACTCCTGGGCTTCAGGACTGTGAGAGCAACAGTTGGTGTTGTTTTGAGCTGGCTGGTTCGTGGCGACCTCCTTGGGGCTCAGAGAGGGACATGTGCTGCATCACTTCCACGTGTCATTGCCTTGACTCCACAAGCTGCCAGGGTGTATCCTTGCTTCTTCCGGGAATTGTGCCTGGATGGCCGACCACCCCTCTCCAGGAAGCACCACCCCATCTCCCCCGGCAGGAGCTTCCTTGCCTCTCCTTCCAGATGCTCACCTCTGTTCCAGCTGTTACTTATTTTTTCGCTGTGCCCACCCCTTTTGTGCGGGCTCCTCGAGGGCCTCATCTATGCACTATTTCATCCCCAAACACAGCTCTATCTCTTGTATGCAAACACCCATCACTGGACTGTTGGATAGGTCCATGTGGCTTATTTGGGAGAAGCAGATGGCTTGGTCCATTCGGAACATGCCATGGGTCCATCAGACTATGTAAATGTCCAGACTTCACTGATTTGGACGAGCCAGTTCAATTCATATTGGCAGATGTTTACCCACCCCTGATTCTGCCAGGCACAGTGCCAGGGTCTGGGGATTCAGGCACAATTCTTGTTCCTGAGCATAGTGGAGAAAACACACAGCAGTGAAGCTTGCAGAGATTTAACTTTTCAATTTCAGAATTCGCTTGTGTTCATTGTTATTGTTCAGTTGCTAAGTTGTGTCTGATTCTTTGTGACCCCGTGGACTGCAGCATGCCAGGTTTCTCTGTCCTTCACTCTCTCCCAGAATTTGCTCAAACTCATTTCCGTTGAGTCGGTGATGCCGTCCAACCATCTCATCCTCCGTTGCCCCTTTCTCTTTCTACCTTCAATATTTCCCAGCTTCAGGGTCTTTTCCAATCAGTCGGCTCTTTACATCACATGGCTAAAGCATTGTAGCTTCAGCTTTAGCATCCGTCCTTTCAGTGAAAATTCAGGGTTGATTTCCTTTAAGGTTGACTGGCTGGATCTCCTTGCAGTCCAAGGGACTCAAGAGTCTTATCCAACATCACGGTTCAACAGCATCATTTCGTCAGCTCTCAGTCTTCTTTATGGTCCAGCTCTCACATCTGTACTGGCTACTGGAGAAACCACAGATTGACTATACGGACCTTGACTGACAAAGTGATGTATTCATTGAGTAATGCTTTGAAATTCCAGATAAAACAGAAGAAGATGTTACTCTCAAGCCCCCAGCAGGAAACAATCATCTGGGAACACAGACCCAGACATGTTCACATGAGGTCCTGATCACACACTGTGTTCTGCAACATGTCTTTTATTCACTTCACATCCTTCAGTGACAATTAAACTAGACCCACATCATTTGTTTCAGGACTGAGTCAGAATGTTCATCTGTCTGCTCTCATTTTAATTCATTCAATCAGTCTCCCATTATAGGATATTTAAGCTTCTCCAGTTTTTAAAAATACCATCTTTATTTTGAAATGTAAATTGGTTTTAAATTGCAAAATTACTACCTGTCATGGAAAAATTACTAATGGTGCATAAGGGCATGTCAAAAAAAAAACCACCTTTCCCTTCACCTCTGGTCTTGAGAAGTCACAACTGTTAATGGTACCTTTATTGGAAGTTTCCAGGTCCTCACAAGCATGATTGTGTGTATATATATATGTACATATATACACACAAATATACAGAGATAGGTGGATAGATAGATATACATACTTGTGTGTATATTACTTAATCTGTATACTTCAAGAAATTTAAGATCTATAGTACACTTATATGTCTATGTAAATTACTTTGCCGACGAAGGTCT